TCATGTGACATCTTTTGAGCTTTTTCCATGTGTAACCAGAGTTAAATCTGCTGGTAATGGGCTTGTTCAAGCAAAGAAAAGGCCAACTCCCAACAAATTGCAGCTTGAACATAAAAGATCTCTGACACTTTAGAGATGGCTAAACAGGGCACAAAACTTCCACCAGGGACAGCCAATGCAGCACGAGAGGTATAAACAGATATGGAGATTTATGAAATAAATGAAATAAGCAAATCAGACGTCCACATAGAAATAACTGGCTGTAACTGTCTGTATGTGATTTGGAGTGCTGCATAATATCTTAATTGGCTCTCAGGAGGGCTGAGCAATACCTGACCTGCACTGTTGGGAAAACAGCCCTGGATCTTAATGAGATAATGATCATCTCAGTAGTTTAGATGTATCTTCCAAAGTGGCTGGATCATATAAAAAATGGATTTGAAATGACATTTTTTAAAAGTGCAGTTTGGTTTAGGCATTTTCAGAGCTATTAATGCAAGAAGCACAAGCCTGGTAATTAAATCTAAAAATATCAAGCCCTGATTGATGACCACTCAGCTCATGAGTATGTAGAGTTATTGTAAATGCTGAGTGGTTTTTAGCTTGGCAGGTGAAAACAGCCTATTTTCTATCATGTGTCCTGGCTGAGCCTCTCAAAGCAACTGATGCCCACTGAGAAAAGCAGCTCCCTATATGCAACGTACATGGTAAATGGCCTGTACTTATATAGTGCTTTTCAATTCAGTTATTCACCCATTCACACACTGATGATGGCAAACTACATTGTAGCCACAGTTGCCCTGGAGCTCACTGACAGAAGCGAGGCTGCCGTACACTGACACCACCACTCCTTCCAACCACCATCAGTAGGCAATGCAGGTGAAGTGTTTTGCTTAAGGACACAACGACACTGAAATCCAGAGCCGGAGCTTGAACAGACAACCCTCTGGTTGCAAGACAAACTCCTTTGTTCGACGCCACTGTCGCCCACAGCGGCATCCAGTTATGATTATATAAAAAGGTAACTAAAACCATCGGTGGTCACCTAAGGAGAAGATTAGAGGCTGAAGGAGGAAAGGAAGGAAGAAAAAAGAAAAAAAAAACAAGGCAAGAGTGACAGCGATAAGATGCAGTCAAGCTTGATTGTCATCCAAAACAACTCAATCATAGCCTCAATTGCAATCTACAGATTGAAAAACCTCCTGATGGAACACTATCAACGGAGATAAGAACAAAGGATCCGACAGAGCAGTCATACATGGGCTGGTTAATATGAAGCAATGACAAAGTCCTGGTAGAGAGGGAGAGCTGGGGCTAATATACACAAGGAGGAAGAATTTCTGGATTTTTTTTTTGTTTTGTTTTCAAAGACTGTAAGATCATCTGATTAGTCTAAATGTCTAATTTAAAGGTTTTTTCAACTTTAACACTTTGAAACATAATGGTATCACAGACATATTAGCTTGTTTGGAAAATTCCTTGTTTAGCAAAGGGAGGAAGGAAGTTTAGTTAATTGTTTTTGCTGTAATATTGCAGCTATTTTTTTTGTTATTTACGATAGGCATTCTCTGTTGCAATGATGGTAAGAAAAATTATCAGGGGATCAGAAAAGAAGAAACATTTGACCTTATCACAGATCTTATTTTAATAACTGTACATACTTTTTGATCCTCCTCCTTTTATTTGAATTAAGATCTGCTAAACATTAAGCAATGTCTCTGCTCTCTTTTATCATTTTGTACAGTGCTCCCTTGTCTGTGCATTTTTATGAGCAATAATGCTGCCTGGAGGTGACAGCTGAGCACTGTGTCATCCGTGCAAGTGTGGTAATGAATGCTCATTTACAAATGTCTTTACTAACATTCTTGCATATGCTGTTTCACAAAAACACAAGCAGAGCTTCTTTGAAATGCACTACAGAGCACTTAACTCTCATGCATTTGTATAAAGCTTGAAAAGAAGCAAATGTCTGGGAGTTTCTAAGAAGCTGATATCATATCTCAATGAAAATTGCAAAGTGGTTGTTGCATTAACTATATATAACCCTAACCAGCAAAACACTGCATAAACAATAGACATATTAAAATAGCTCTTCCTAAGCAGGACAGAGAAGCTGATCCATGATTGGCTTAGAAAAAAATTACATTTATATCTCAGTTTTACATTTATATGGCTCAGTTTAAGTCTGGGTCAAATTCAACTAAAAATATCTGTATCAAATATTAATAACTGATTTTTTAAAAATTCTTTTCATCCAAACTGAAACTGATCTTTGTGAAATCAATATGACCAAATGTATTTGGTTTACTTGCCACAAAAGTTGCAGGTGGTGCTTTAACCTCTACATTTTTTCAACAAAAAATGACCAAAAGCTAAAAGAAAACTAGCAAAACATAACTGAACTTGCCGGGTTTTCTTGGTGTTCAACTTGTAAACATCAGAGCAGTTATTCAGAGCTTCCTGCCAAGGCCATGTGTGTTTACCAAATAGGGAAATAACTGTGCAAAAATGTCCGATGTGAAGGCTCGTCAACCTCCTGTGGATAGGTCAGAACTGGCAGCACACTTTAAGATGCACTTTGGTTCAAAGTGCATGACTGTAGGCATGAATTACATCCAAACTACTCTCCCTTAACTGCAGGGTTTGCTATTTTAAACTAATTCCCACTGCAGCTTAACAGACAAACAACTGAGTTTGTGAGGTGGGAGTTCAGGCAAACTATGAGTGAGCGCAGCAGTGCTAATGTAGAGTGCATAAGCTGTCAATGCATTGCCCAATTTTTGGATTTGTTTAGGGACTGGATTTTAATGAAAACATTTTTGCTAAAGTGATTTTTTTTTACAAATATTTTTCAACTGATCTCCTTCTGGAAGTGAAAATATTTTAAAATATAACACAAAGATCTATCTATGGTGCACCAATTTCACTCAGAAAATGGATTTTAACAACTATAATTTCAACGAAGGAAACAAGTATATCTAACAGTTTAATGGTTTAGTTTCAGTCAATCTTGCTGTTCAGTCACATTTTATAATAGGGTCAACAAGCAAATGCAACATCTGGAATTGAACATTATGTGGAGATGGAGTTTAAAATGGAGAAGTCTGCAGGCTTTTATGGTTGTGTCTTCATATTTCCTTCATAAAGGTCGCTATTTAGTAACATTTTCTTAAATGTTTAAGTATAATTAATAACAGAAAAAAACTAATTGTAATCAAAGCTTTTCATTTGATCCTAATTTCTTTCCCACATGTGCATGCTCTCCAGCCCAGCAGGTGGCAGTAATGTGGCAAAACTTGTTTACCAGGTGTAAAGAGGCCAATATGCTTTGAAAGATAAAGTTTTTTAAGAAAGTTAACAAAGTTTTACTTTGTGTTGTTCTTTCTTTCTCTGACTCAAGTAAATCTACTACGATACCTTAGTTCTAAACCTTTGAATATGGATGCCAGAAATTATGAGCCTGGTATTGGCATCGGTTCGTATTTACTTTAAAACTTAACTGGTGTGGGTGTTATTTAAAGTTTAAGGGAGACATAGCTGAAGTGCCATTTGCAATTTCTAGACAGGACATAAGGATAAACACTGCTTAGTGTTTGTAAGTAGGTCTAGGAACAAAAATATCAGTATCAGTTATTGGCCAGTTAAGCTTTAAAATATCATCATATGAGATGTTGGCCGTCTCTCTGTATGATCAGATTTAATGGACCCTGAAAAGTGCCTTTAGAGGATGTGTTGTGAATCACTGCTATTCATTTCTCTCATTCTGTACCCTTTAGCTGAAAATAAAAAACTTGAAGTTGTTTTGCATCAATTATTACCTGCCATTGGGATCTTTCATAACTGCCTTAATGGTGAATGTTTTTAAGTGAATCTATTTTATAAGTCTGCTGGGCATTGTAATAAAAATAAAATTAAAAAAGTGTGATGTAAAGTCTTCAAAAAAAGGAATAATATGACATAATGGTTGAGTCACTACCCTCGTAGGCTACGTTCACACTGCAGCCTGAAGTGACCCAAATACGATTATTTTTCCCATATGTGACCTGGATCTGATCTTTTCATGACAGTCTGAACAACACAGATCTGATCTTTTCCAATGCGACTCAGGCCACTTGGCTATGTGGTCCTGAATCCGATACGAATCTGATCTTTTCAAATGTGACCTGTTTGTGAACGATCAGGTCGCATTCATCTGACCTGAACGCCATTAGTAACCGACATAGGTTACTATTCTGCTTCCTGCTATACAGAAGTGGCAAGAAAAACAAACACCATGGCGGATGACGATGCGCAGAGCAGTATTTTTTTTAACCATCTTGAAAAGATTGAGGTTTTAAGGTTTTGAAAGATCGCTAGATGCGCACTAGCCCTCCATACGTGTTTACTTCCGTAAACACGACGCATGCTGGCTTCTGACGTCATTGCATCCTCTACTGCGCATGCGGGACACTTAAGCTGTATGAATGCAGTTTACACAGGAGATCACATATAAGTCGCATATTGTCAGGGTTGAGCTGAGGTTTTGAGGACCCAAATGCAGAGGTGAGGGGGCAGAGTTGAGTTCTTGTAGATTTAATGAAATTTCTGAGGCAAAAATCCAAAAACCAAAATGCTAAGAACTCAAATGCACCCAGAAAACATCACAAAATAGGAAATAAACCAATAAAACTAGAAAACAACGAAAAACATGGATCAAAGTGAAACTGAAAACTCAAAAAAAAAAAACCTAAACAGAACCAAGACTGTGATATATATTTATTGAAATAATCACTTTTTATACACTATCGTACCTGGATTCATTTTGTTAGGCCACTTTTTTCATCTGAGGTAAAGAGCTAAATAATGGGAAAATAAGCTTTAAAACATTATCTGTAACCTTATTCTAATTTTAAAATAGTCCACTCAGACCATTACGGTTAGGAACACAGCTAAGACAATACATACATATAACATGTAACATATACATTACATTTCTCACACTAAGGTCATCCAGATCTTACCTAGAAGTGTGATAATGCAGCCCAGAATGGCCAGGAGGGCACCAGTGCTAAGGCCTGTAGCTGTGTAGGCCACTGCTCCACAAGACAGGGCCACGCCGTCGGAGTCGCAGTCGCACACTCGCACCGACAGTGTGTTTGTGCTGCTGAGGGCAGGGATTCCATTGTCTGTGATCAACACTGGCAATCGATACACTGGCTGCTCCCGTCTCCTGAAGCCGCCTCGCTTTGTCAGTATGGATGCTGTATTGTCTGCAAAAGAGCGAAAAGTCTGTGTCATGATATATCCGTTCAAGGTACAAACAGCAGAAAACATTCAAACTACTTTGTTTTGGTCATTCTTAAATCTTAAATCAAGGAGAAAAGCTAACAGAACGTATCATGAGAGCAGTTTATTATATGACACCCTGTAGTTCCTTTCTCCGGTCTTGACCATGTTGGCTAATAAGTGGTTTGGTTTGATGGTAAAGATTTGTGTCAAATCTTAGTATGAGGGACAGAGTCAAGGGACAGAAGCAACCAAACACTTTTAATAACAGAAAAGTTTTTATGGTTCTAACCTCTTAAATCTGAAGAGATCTTCCAAAAGTCTGTGCTCAAAATAGCACCTGGAAAGCTAATTGAGGTTTTTGCAGCCACTAAAAACTATTTTAAACAATCTTGGTACCAGACGGAAGCTAAAACGTGTACGTACGAAGTGTACGTATTACAGCAGCTGCTATTGTTCCAAAAAAAATTAAGATGGAGCAACATGAGGATTTATCCCGTCTCCAGATTCTGCTTTCAGCACCCAGAAGGAAATATAATTAAAAAGGCTAAAAACCTTTGGAAACCCTTGATCCACTGTTAGGCATCAGCTGTGCAAATGTTAATGCATCTAGTGTAAATTACAGCAAATTTAAAGAGGTTTTGGTGAGACATATGGGGACTACTAATCTTTGGTACTATCCTCAGATTTCTTGTGTTTTTATTTAAAAAATGTAATAACATTGAATTAACACATCAAAAAATGGCTTGTTGAATATTATTTTTAAAATACTAAAATTTATTTTCCACATACTTTCAATAAACCAACAAGAAAGCGCTATTTTTCCTCCACCTGGAGCATATTCAGTGAATATGCAGTGAATGCAGGTATTTGAAGCCCATCAAATTTTTTTCTCTGACATTAAACTTTTCTCATCATGCCACCATTCAAAACTATTTATTTTGGATGTTGACTCCAGAAGGTCATCAGATGTCCTACAATAACATGGATGAGCCCCAATGCTATCTATAAGGTATGTTTGCTGGGACGCCATTCAGCTTCAAAGAAAAGTGTTCTAACTAGTGAAAAGAACGAAAATGCAAATATGTAGCTATAATGCAGATGTTGCAGTAGTCTGTTGTGAAGAGAGCTTAGCCAAAAGGCAAAGCTCTTGATTTGCTGGTTGGCCAATGTTTCTAATCTCACATCTGGTCATGAAATCTGAAAGAAATAACAAGTTCCATCATATAAGTAGTTGACATTGTGACACTTTTCCTGAAGGGTAGCAGGACACTCCCTTAGGGATTAAGAAGCCTGGTTATGTGGGAGAGGCATGGAGTAAAGACACCTCCACATCTAGAGGAATCAACTGAGTTAGCTCTGACATGTTTTTTGGATGCCTCCCTTAGAAGGTGGGATGGGAAGGGACTATATCTTTGGCCTGGGAGCACTTCAGGTTTCCCTCAGCAGAGCTGAAGACGGTATCTAGGGAAAGAACCTCTGGGAGTCTCTGCTGAGACTGTTTCCCCTGCTCTTCTTACGTAGCTTTCCAAAAGCTTCAAGAGCATATCTACAGAAATCTTCAATGAATAGCTGCATCTGTGAGGTAAGATAGCAATGTTTGATGAGCTCTAAGTTGTTTGACCACACAGGATAAAAACTGTGTGTTGACAAGTCAATTATTTCATGAAAACTTACTCATTTATGTTCTTATAGATTGCTTTGTATCGTACATTAGTGTAGACTCCTCTAACTGAACGGGACAACAACAAATTGAAACACTAAATTGCACATATCCTCTTTGTATGCTAAAGTATTTTGAGTTCATAACTTTGATAATACAGTGCTAAATCCATGCAAAATAACAAAGAAGGTTTATCCTTCCCATGTGAAAAATGATTAATATCTAGCAGTATGCAAGTTTAAAAATGACCATCGCCACTCCAAAACGAAGCCTAGATTTGTCGATAGCCCTCTGAGCCCTTTAGGGCTGGTTATACTCCAACAGCAGTGTGTTGCAGTGAGCTTGTCGCAGATATTTCTGATTTATAGCAAATATTGAATCGTGGTCTGCGCTATGTTATTCCATGCCACAAAGCAAGGACAGTGAACTAGCTGTGGGTCGAGATATGGCCGAGCAGGTGAAGAAGTGGAAAAACGGAATGGGCAAGTTTGTGTGACAACGGATGGACATGAGTGCGAAAAAGAGCGGGGCTCCAGGTGGAAAAAGGATCTCAGTGTTCTCACACACCTTGCTCTTCTAGCTTCTCCATCTTCAGAAGTCGTTTTCCACAACAGCGTTCATACAAATAAAACAAGCCGGTAAGGTACCAAACAGGAAATACGCATAGTGTAGAACGGATGTAGGTTTGACCAATCAGAGGCCTCCTGTCTGCGGCACTGTCTGCAGTCACCTACAATTTTGGAGAGGTGCACCAGAGTGTCTGTGGAAGGAGCGGGGGCATATATGTGTTCACTGCGACACACATGCAGACAACCTGGTTTCTGACTTTAGACTTTAGATTAAACTTTGAAAAAAGTACATATGATCTAAATTACAGAGTTAAAAAAAACAATTGATGGATTATTAGTTCCCACAGAAATTCATATGCCACAGAACATTTCTCCATCAGGCTCCCTGGTAATCTCCCCCTGCCATTTCTTCTCAATCTGCGTTCTGGTTATCTTGAACATACATGTTTGTACTTACGTGGATTACTTTGACACAGCGTGGCGCCTGCTGCACCTTCAGAGAGGTATGAAGACAGCCTCTAGTCATCTCCCACACAGGTGAATGAACTACTAAACACAGGGCATCGCCTCGGAGAGTCTATCAGCTCTAAACAGGTTTTTTTTTCTTCATCAAAGCACCAGGTATTTGTGAAAGCACATAATCATAGAGTCAAGTGCTACTCTCATGAGCCAATACATCGATGTAGAAATTAAAATGAAGTTTTCCACCCACTTTTATGTGTAGGTGGCATGAAGATTATGCCAATGTAAAGACAGCTTTGGTCGTGTGCAAAGGTTAAAGATACATTGTGATTAAGCAAAAGAATGTTGTTTCTAACCACATGGTGTCACAAATAGAAGGATGTCACATATAGTTTTGTTGATTTTGCTTTGAGTCTTGATAAACAGAAATGGGGCGTAGGTGGTGGATCTTTTATAGAGTTATAGTAAGACAAGCAGAGTGAATTACGTTGACAGGCTGAATAAAAAAAACAAGCAACAAACATCTGTAACATACCCTCATGTGACAAAAAAATCTGTAAATCCTGTGGTTTTCTTATACATTGCAACAAATGGATTTTAAATAAAGTATTAACAAAACTGTACGTTCCTATTCCATAAAAAAACTAAAAATTTTATTACATTATAAGTGAATTGTAATTTACTAAATGCATTTTCATTTTCTACACCTGTGAAGAATTAAATTAGGATATCTTTATTCGGTCTTAAAATGGTTAAAATCCCACACAGGTGTATCAAATCACGTCAGAACATTTTAAAGTTGGTTTACACTTTTTAGACCTCAGATGTCCAACTGTTTAAGTGAAAGTTAACAACATGGTGAGATTGAAGGAGCTATCTGAAATATTCACACAGAAAATGACAGCTTGTGTATCTGGTAAGGATTTGATGAGATTTTCATTTCTATGGTTGGAAAATAGTCTTTATGTGGAGACCCAAAACAATGCCAACCAGCTCAGCTTTTTCTGCATAACCACATCTACCCAAAGAGAAATTCACCTTCAGAAGTCTCCAAACACCCTCAGATGTCATCATGGGACTTGAGAGAACTTTAACTATTTTGGGAAGACTACAAGGACTGAACCTTTAATCTCCAGACAGAAACATAGGCAAGCTGAACTTAAAGGTTAAAAGTATAGTGGAGGATTTTTGCAAATTTTTGAAAAGACCCGCCCCCTCCACTGAGGGCGGATGCAAATGCACAACCCTGTACCTGCTCACGAGACGGAACGCCTATTAAACACATGGAAGAGCATGCACAAGCCCATTTCTCCTCGTGCACTCTCTGTTTAGAAGTTGATGCTTGCATTGCTCATGCAGGCTCACTTTCCAAAAGATTTGAAAATTTTCGACAATGTCAGACTCACCACCGGTAAGTGAAAGTGGAAACGGGCACGTAGGACGGGCTTAAGTAAACATATCAACAGCATGATTGACAATAAGAGAAACACTTATTTTGATGATCCACCTTGAAAAAGAACTTCATCCACTAAACCTTAAACTATCAGAGGCAATTCACACAAAGATCACGGCTTCTGGATTTCTATCTTATGTACAGATGACTCTAAAACTGAGAGAACCAAATACAGCTTTTTAAGAGAATAACCTCACAGATCTCAGAAGTAAAAGTGTTTTTGATATTTGTATTTATCAGGTTATCATTATATAATTCACCAAATTCTACTATGTTTCAGAGGGTGCTGAGAAAAATGTAAGCCTAATTGTAAAAAAGAAAAAAAAAGTTCAAGCAGAGCTAGACCTTGAAACATGACAATAACCCAAAATATATCAGTCACTCTATGAAGAACTGAGAGAGAATTGAGAAATAAAAGTTCTAGCCAAGGTCACAAGTCAGATCCAACTCTTATTGTGATGCTGTGAGGTAGCTTTTAATGAGCTACACATGTTAGAAACTTTGATTGAATGAGTGAAATGAGTAAATATAATCATTAATAAATTTTTATTCGTTTTATGGTTTCCCACTTCTATCTTGAACTCGTTTAAATTTATTGTGAATTTTCCAGCTGAATGAACTGACTGCTCTAATAATATAAAATATATACATATACCGCAGGACTTTTAATAAGATACAATAGTATTCTTCAAGTGACAGAAACAGGTAATTTACTGTACAGAATATGCAGTAAATTTTACACATATAAACATGTTAAATAATTTAAATACTGAAGATAACTGAAACTGTTTAATGTAACCTGAAGTGACAAAAAAAAAAAAAACAGCCTTAAATCATGATGCATGATTCTGTTCTCCATTTGGTGCTTTTAGAAGCAAAAACTCACAAACGTCTAGGCATGTTTGTGTCTTAGATATTCTATAAATTCACACTTTAAAGTAAATCACTATCTTTGAACATTATCAAAGAGTGGCACAAAAAGGCAGTTGTACCTTTGTTATCTCGCAGGGTGAAGTTCATGTTTCCAGCAACGGAGGCATCAAGGGCGAAATGAAAGCGATGCCCGCTCAGCGGTTCATCCTTATCCACTGCACTGATGGTCTGAATCACCTGAGGAAGAGAAGAACAGAAAGACATATGTTTAGAATCAGTTAACCGTCCTTTATCTGATCAGGCATTCAGATTAGCCAAAAAGCGAAGCTCTAGATTGTGTGCATAAATTTAAAGGATGCCAAAATTCTTGCTCACTGTATCACTAAGGACAGTAAGATCATTCAGCCTTTGTAGTCTTTAGCTTTACGAGAAATTTTATTTCAGCAGGGATAACCTAAATGAATAGAAAAAAATGTGTAGATTATTTTATGCATAGAGCTGGCAGATCAATCAAAACTAACTTCTTTTTCATTTACAATTAAAATAAAAATATTTGTCTCCTTTAGCATAACTGACAGTAATGTTTTTGTTCACAACCTAAGTACTACCAGAACAGTACAATAAAGTCCATAATTTGCACCTTTCTTACATAATAAGGTAGAGTTAAAAATCTTTAGAATTTGTGCTTCAAAAATGATTGCATAATTGCGATCCATGTTGATTTACATCTAAAGTGTATTTTGTGTTGATATAAGAATATCCAAAACCAGGTTTGCATAGATATAAGGAAAGGTTGAAATCAGACTTAAACATTGCGATTGAAGAAAACCTTTGGTCTGATTTATGTCAAAATAATACATTCAGTAAATGTTACTGTTAGGGATCTGACAGAAACAAAGACTGGATGAAAATGTCAAGAGTGAAAAAATTCCTTAGCCAAAAGTATTGCATCACATTTATATCAAAACCTTAGAGATTATTTTGTGTGTCCTCCACGTGCCTGTATGACCTGCCTAAAATGCCTGAGCAAGCTCCTGATGAGGTGGTGGATGGTCTTCTGAGGGATCCACTCCCAGACATGGACTAAAGCATCCGCCAACACCTGGACAGTCTGTGTTGCAATGTGACATTGGTGGATGGATTGAAACATTATGTCAAAGATCTGTTCAGTCGGTTTCAGGTCTTGAGAACTGGTGGGCCATAGCTTCAATGCCTTTATCATGAAGGAACTGCTGACACACTCAAGCCACATACGTTCTAGCATTTTAAATTAATTACATCTTGAAAAAATCTTGGAGACCAAGTCCAGTGGATATTTTTTGAATTTTTATGGAATTGAAAAATAGAACAGCACACATGTCAGTTTTAACGGCACAGACCTGCACAAATGAAGCACTAAAAAAGTAGATCACTTTTAATGGGTTTAATGGGATGATGGTGATCACTGGATGATCTAAAATACAATCTTCAATATCTCTTAAACAAAAGCAGCACAATCAAAAACTGCACTAGCATGGCACTGACCAATCAGTCTATTTGCAGTTATTTGACGTGGGTGGGGTGTCCACTTCCCACTACAACGGGTCTGAGGATCTCAAAAAAAGGTGCATGGGATATATACAGTACATGCAGTGTGTCTATATATGCACAAGGTGTTTACATTGGGGGCCCGGCAGACAACGGCATAGAGGAGGGCTGATGCCACCAGAGTCATAGAAGGTTATAAGCAGGGGCCTGCTCACTCCAAAGCATCTGAGCTTCCTCAGGAGGTGGAGGCAGCTCTGGCCCTTCTTATACAGGATGTCTGTGTTATGAATCCAGTCCAGTTTGTTTATTGACTTAAACATCCAGGTATTTGAAACTCTCAACGGTTTCTATGTCCTGCCCCTGGATGTTCACAGGAGAGTGAGGTGGGGGTCTTCTCCTGAAGTCGATCACCATCTCTTTGGTTTTACTGGTGTTAAGAGACAGGTGGTTCTTCTCAAACCAGTCTACCATTTTCATGATAACCAATCGATATTCCAGCTCATTCCCTTCGGAACACAACGTACAATGGTCAAGTCTTCGAACAACTTCTGGAGATGTCAGTTGTCTGTGTTGTATGTGAAGTCTGAGGTGTAAAAGGTGAAGAAGAACAGATACAGAACGGTGCCCTCTGGGGCCACGGTACTGCAGACTGCCACCTCTGACTGACCGCCGTGGAACCAGACGTACTGAGGGCGTTCCGTGAGAGAGTTGATGGCCCAGGCAGCGAGATGTCTGTCCACTCCAGCATACTCCAGGTTCCCCCTCAGCAGCTCTGGTCTGATGGTGTTAAAAACTTGTGCAACAGATAGATGATGGCACTATGCAAAAGCTTTGCTTCGCAAAAAAAAAAAAAAAAACTTGCCTAAAAACAATATCTCAATAATCCTGAGGAACTTTGTAAAAAATAATATAGACTACTTAGGGAAAAGTCTTTTTCTTTTTAGTTATGATCCACATTGTTGTTGGAGAATAACACAGCATAATGAAAAAAAAAAACTGTGTACAAGATGATGATGTCACAAGTACATTGTGTAAGAGTAATCGATCAAAGTTTGATTTCTTATGTCAAACAGAAAATTCTAAAGTAAAATATGTTTGTTACTATTTAGGCTAAAAAATACTATTTTTACAATGTTGGACAAGGATAACTCTGGTTGTAATACAGGCTAGGCTTGTCCCGATCCGATATGTGGATCGGATCGGGACGCCGATATTGGCAAAAAAATGCATATCGGCAAAGCATGTAAAATGCCGATCCAGACTGCCGATCCAGTTTTTAAAAAAAAAAATCCGGTCCGTATTTTCCAGTTTCGCCGATTGAAACGATCCATTCCACTATTTTGCTCCAGTGTTCCCCTGTTTTGCATTTTTATTAAAAGTTACAGTAATACTTGCACCTTTAACTGTTTACGGTTTTACTGTTCACTGTGCAATTTCAGATTGCTATTCATAATTTTGTCCAGTTTGTGTTTATCTCTTAATAAACAGGTAAGTTTGTTGTTACCAAGCATTTTGTTTTATTCATTTCACCTAATTTAGCTGGCTAGATGTTATCAAGAGTACTAAAACCCTTTTCAAAATGAGTCTTACAACTAAGGCTAAATACTTTAACTTAAACTTAAATACATGCTTGGATAGGCTGGTATCGGCCAGTATCGATATCGGATCGGAAGTCCAAAAACAATATCGGTATCGGATCGGAAGTGCAAAAACCTGGATCGGGACATATCTAATACAGGCCATAAAAACCTAACAAAGATGTCATAACTTCACCAGTTTTCAAGCTGATTTAAAATAAATCTCTAAAGTTTTGGAGTGGCCTTCTCTATCTGTCAATCCGAATACAATTGAGATCTACAGAATTATTACAAATGGTGTGTTCATGCTTAAAAAAATCCATTATGGCTAAAATAAATTGTTCTTCAACGAGTTTCTCAAAATTCATAAACAATTATGTAAGAAGATGAAATGCTCGATGGTAGCTTTTGGTAGGGCAGCACAAACAGTTATCAGAGATTTAGAACAGTTAATTTTTTTCATAGAGGTAAGTTGTGTCGTTTAAAGCTTTTCCACTATTATAATAAACTGTCATTTAAAAAGCACTTTTATTATTTTCTTGGATTATCTTGTAAAAATTTTATTTTAATGATCTGAAATGTTTATATGTGACAAAAAAATAAATAATAAAAACCCCAAAAGTTTTAAGGGAGTAGATAGTTTTTCAAAGCACTTTATATCTAATGTTCTTCATCAAGACAAATTTAGACACATTGAGGCACAAATCGTGTTTGAGGGGCCAAGCAACAAAGTGAGTGGATTAGAGAAAAACAACTTGATTCTTATCGATAGATAAGATTTATTTTATAACTATTGGCAGTGGCCCTCTGTCATTTGTTTCTTTCAGTTCAGTAAGTGCTTATTTGGCAGGAGTTTAGCAACCTTTTAGGAGTAAAATGTTTTCTTTTAGGAAGGAATTTTATTTCCAAAGCAATCATTATTATTTAGATATTATGTCTCTATACAAACTAACTTCTCCTACAACAAATGCTTACAATTAGCATGAATTCATTGTAAAATAAAAATTTAATTTAAATTAATGACCTACCATCCTTATTATCCTATGCAGTTGTGATAGGAAAGGTTGGCTGTAGAGACAATGTTTTCACCAGTAGGATATAAAATAGTTTATTCCTGCTGTAAATTTGGTTCTTTTATCATCGTATTCCATAAAGAGTGACTTATGTTTGATGGAGCTGCAAGTGACAATAAGAAACAGTAGAGATGCCTGTTAAAAGTAAGCACTTTGAGGAAATGGAAATTGTGTGCTAAGTGTCACGTTAATGAAGTGTTGTTAAAACTTGGAATATTAGGGAAATGTTTTGTGTGCCAAGTGAGCACTACACAGCGCTGAGTTAGATTCACATCTCAAAACATGATTCATTACATAGACAATCAATGGCTTTTCCAACATCTGATGCAAGCAGATGTAGCTTAAATTTCCTTCCTGGATTAAAAAGGTACTTCTGTATCATTTGTTTTCTTTAAATGTACAAGACCTGGATCTAAATCAATCTTAATCTTTACAAATTCGCAACTGCATTTTTCCACTATACATTACCATTTTATCTAGTGTTTCTTCCATTCCTTACTCCCCAAAACACATTAATACCAATAAACAAACCATTTCATACCTCTCTTCAAACTACCATGTATCATTACATTTTCAATCAAGTTTGAAAAAGTAGTAAAATAAATTAATTTCATGTCATGTCAGTCATCTGAGGGTATTCATTCTAAATTATTTTATTTCCAATCCTTGTTTGGGCCCATGGTTTTTAAGTAAATCACAGATTAGGCACCTCTGATTAAACAAATGAAAACCAAAAAGCACCCTTCTCATAGTAAAAAAACTACTTTACCTGAACTATTAAGCCATTATTGAACTATTAAGGAAATACAAAAAGGTGTGTTAAACATATGAACATAACATGAGACCCCCTAGTAGACACAACCAGTTGTAAAATGAAATGAACTAAAAAGAACTTTCATAAAAAATAAAATATCTTGAAGCATGTTTTTTGTTTATGTTGTCTACTTTTGTAAATTTGTGCTAGCAAGTGTCTTTCTATGGTAAAGAGGTTCAAATGGTCTCAAAGATAATTTAGCAGCACAAACCTAGTTGATGCATTTGTGTAAAATCCAAATTCCTA